CTGCAGGTGCGCTCTTTCCTTTTTTTTTTTTTTTAGGAGTTGACCAGGACTCGTGATGATATAAATGTCGAATCGCGCACGCGATTATTTTCTAAAATCGTAATTCTGCGCTTTGAAATTTTTTCGCGAACTTGATCATTTTTGAAACGAAACGCACACAAGAAACAAACAGATAAAAAGAAAACAATTTCGACGCGAGAGAAAATTCTGCGTCCGAGGAAGCTTGCATCTTTGAGAAAAAAAAGCAGTAAAGTAATTTTCTGACGAGATAAAACAACAGTAAAATAATTTTTTTTAAGCTCTAAACGAACAGCATGCCAAATAGTAGTCGCACGTGGGATACGTATATTGATACGCGCGCGATGATATTCCAATTGCCAGGAGAAAAATCGAGACACAGAGGATACAATAGAAATAAATGAAGACACGCACATATAGAAAGGGGGAGAAAGAGAGAGTCTGCGAGAGAAACAGTCGTCTCGTTAAAGAGAGCTCGTGTGTTCGGAATGTACCATGATACCCTGGAGGAAAGAAAAAACGTAAAGAAAACTCCCTTCTGTACGCCCGAACGTCTCTTTGAAATTAATTGATCTTTGAAACCCATTGCACTTGTCGTCGGTTGTTGTTCTCGTCAAAGACGTACATAATAGAGAAAGATATATACATATATATGTATATATATATATATCTCTCTCTCTCTAAATACATATATACGTAATAACCCATACGTAATTCTCACGCTCGGCCAATGCGCAGCGCCTCGTTCCTATCCTCTTTTTTTTTTCCTTCCCCTCTTCGGAGCACAAATCGGCCACCTTCATCTTGCCTCTCTATGATCAATCTGCGTCTTCTTTCTGCCGAACCGCACCTGTCGCTCTGTTCGATGTCTCAAATCTATCCCCAATCCTGATTTAACTCAACCGAATCTAATCTACGATTATATATCGACACTCTTCTCCGCTAACATCCTTGTACCATGCTCACCATATTCTTTTTCCGCACAAATGAGAAACGCTTCGCTGCCATTGGCCAATAGTAACAGGAGGGGGTAGAGCCAGCTTTTAGCGGTGCTTACTTTTTTTTTTGTTGTTGTCTGATTTTCACACCTTGAACGCTGGTTAACTTCTTTTACGCTCGTTCGTTGCGAGGAAGATAGAATAGCAAAGTCTCATTCTTTATCGCGAAAAGACAGACAGCAAAGAAGGAGAGAAGAGCGTAAATGATGATGATGATGATGATGAAGTATACTTAAATAACAGACGACATATTGTCGGCAGGTTTATCGTTTCCGTCTTCTCTTGCGTTCTTCTCATTGCTTTATTAGACGATAATGACGACATCGAAAAAAAAAGAAAGAATTAAGGGTACAAAAAAGATATATAGCGCCAAGTCCCCGTATATTCGTACAAAATTAGTGTTCAAATTTTAAGAAGTGTTCATAGTAAAGAGAGAGAGAGAGAGAGAAAGAGATGTCATGTTGTAAGGGATCAATATTTTCACGAGGCCGGCCGTTGTATCTGCAACACATATTACCGCTTGTGTTTCATTATCAAAATTTCATTTTTTGATCCTTGAAATTTATATATAGATGTTGTTTCGTAAATTTTATTTGTAATAGATAATATCTGAGTATATGTATATGAAGGAATTGTGAATTCTGATATGCACTCTAGATTTTGTTAATATTTGTTAAACTGTAAATATATTG